CCCCCCCTTATGTGCCCATCCCCCCATGTGAATCCCACCTGGCACACACAAACACACACACACCAATTTGATACATTTCCCGCTCTTATGTGCCCATCGTCCCACATGGATCACACCTGGAACACGCAATACATGTTCAGTGTCTATTCTTTGTATATTTAATGCATTTTTTCATGTAGTCTGATACAATATGTACAGCTCGAAAGGGTGTTAAATGAAATTTGGTGATGATGAATGGTTTTTGTGTTAATGTAATAGCAGTTAAAACAGGACCGGTCAAATTTGACCGAGAACACCAAAGTAAGGGAGGGAAAATGAACACAACAGGAGGGTTAAAGTATTTACAACCAAACAACTTCTAAACAGGATGGACATTTTGTTTCATAACCTTGCTACTCAAAAGGCAAAAAAGTATTTCTAAACAGAGGCCAATGGGTTAATACATTCTGACGACAGAATATCATGAATACTAGTCAATACATTTCTCTACATTCATCACCTTTCTCAGCTAAGTAAAGCTTTGTTATACTGAACAAACTTTTATTTTGTTTTTATTGTTAAGACAATAATTGGAACTCTTGAGCATACAGACTGCAGCACATGTAGATGTGCTTAACAAACACTGCCAGAGGAAAGGTATAAAAGGTCACAAAAATCAATAATTTTCATTTAGCTGGTGCTCGAAATGTGTGCTGCAAATTCCTTGCCAACAGTTTTAACATATAAAATAATGTTGTTTCAGCATTTGAATGGAGACACATTCTCCTTTGAGATTTGAATCTATTAATGACTTTACCTAAAAAACAAAGTGTTCTAAGTACAAAATCCCCTATTGGGCTTAGGGAGAAAAACACTGTTGGTTCCAGGCCACAAATTGTTATGACCCTTTTTTACAACTTGCATAGTCCCAAGAGAGTGAGAAATCCCACTGGCTCTCAGTTCAATAATAGTAACAACCTTTCCGTTTATTGCTTTAGCGTTGTGACGATGACTTTCTCCTGACGTCCCCTTTTTGCAGTTTAATTGAGTAACAGCCCATTATAAACATAATAAATGAATCAAGGACAGGTATAGTTTCTCTCAATTGCAAATGTACAAAGATGCAGTCTGTTTAACCAAAATAATTACAGGTCATGAGTACACACGTAATTATATCATCTACATTAAACAAGGCAGTTCCCAGACAAAAATAAGTATGAGTGACTCCAGCGACATTTTCACAACATGGTGGCTGAACCTTAACAAACAAAACCTCTTTTATAGGGCATGAACAAACTTAGAGAATCAATAAGGTCTATGAGAACAGGGTTTGTTTATTAAGATTTCTGAAATGTACTCTCAAATAAATGTGAATTTCAGAGATCAGACCATGTTTTGTGCACAACATAGGGAATCTAGTTCAGCTTTGATCATATTTTCATGTTGAATATAACTTGAATCAGCAAGTGTTGGTGCACCTGGACTTTTTTTTATAGACAACAGTGCCTTAGACTAACTCTAAACGGTCAATAAATACACTAAATCGTTCTTGTGATACATCCTTTCCCAAAGTATAGGAAATGTGTCTGTCTCTAAACTAGTGATAAATGGCCTTCACTGTAAGAAGTTCTGACCAGATCTATCCTCAAGTAAACACAAGTCTTTCAAATCTTTTTCACAGCCAGTGTCTAACATGATTTATTTCTTGTCAGACCTTTATGATATTAAAGGGAAAATACAGATATTATATATTTGATCTCAGATACACTTCAATCACCAGTGTAGGTCAGCAAAATATTACTTTTCCCAGTTGAAAGAATATAAAAAGCGTTGTTAAAAGTCCCTTTGACCTCTGAACAGCCATGAGACACCTCTTAAGCCCCACGGACCCGGTTCCGGGGTCGAAATTGCGTCATTTGCAGGAAACAACGTCTAAGGAACCTTAATATTTAATAAACTATGAATATTTTATATCCATATAACGGGTTTTCCCGTTATATGGATATAAAATATTCATAGTTTATTAAATATTAAGGTTCCTTAGACGTTGTTTCCTGCAAATGACGCAATTTCGACCCCGGAACCGGGTCNCGCCGGTGTCTTCTTCTCGGAGTGAGTGCGAAGCGGTTCAGGAGAATGGCGGCAAACATTAACCACACAGGAGAGGGTCTTCTCTACCGCCGGAGATATCGGCCCAATCCCAAACCACTCCCTCGACGGAGTGAACTCCGTCTGTAGCCACACTCGCAGCTCAACTAGGCTCCCTCCTGTCAGATGGAGGGAGTAAATACAGCGGCAAGCTTTGGGACGGCCTCCCCTCTCTCCGGCAGAAACAGGAAATGCCGTAACTGTATGTAACAACGGTTTCAAATCAGCATCTATTGGACAAAAAGTTTAAATTAATAACTCAAATAAAACTCCAAACATCTTTCATTGTGTTTCAAAGCTCTTTTAGTTTTAAACCTGATGTTTATAAGCTTCTTAGTTTTTGCAACGGTCTGTAAATATACACAACTTTATAATAAAATGCACACATTTACCTTTTTCTAGACTAAACACAGGTATGATCCTAAGTTAAAAACATATGAGGTTATCATGAGGTTGTTAACATCGCAATTTATCAGTGGATGTTTGCTGGAACTACTTGTTAACAGCTTGTTTCCTGACGGACACACATAGCGTGACTCCGGTTAGGTAGAGACCGGTCTCAAGTCAGCACCGCTGCAGACTGGGGTTGCGTTCCAATAGTCCATTTAGCTTAGGAACCTTCCTAACCAAGTGAAATGACCCGGAAGTACGTCAGTGGCAGCCATGTTAAGTGCCGTTCCAATTCTCCAAATGAAAGGAAAGGAGGTTTCAAGCTTCCTTTATAACCTTCCTTTTTGAACGTTCATCAGTATTATTATCAAAAAGAGAAATATGAACGTTAGTTTTTACTGAAATGATCAAATAAAGTCAACATTTCACTGAGCTGTGTGGGGTTTGTTCAACTTTTAAAAGATGTTTGAATGGTGATGTACACAGTGATGGGTGTTAAGGACTAATATTTATAATAAATACATTTGTATTGATTTTAAGATATATTTATGCAATCATACGTATTGGGATCATTTGTATTAATGTGGACCGGAGGGAGAGGGTGACGAGCATACATTTCACTTTCCTTTTTTATTTCAATAACAACTTTGGTCATGAAGAATATGTTTCTCTGTTGTCCAGTTCATAAAGCATAAAACAACAGCATCAGAGCACGGTGCAGAGTCTCTAGATGAGTCCCTCGTTCTTATTAAACATCCATGTTGAGTCCGTTGTATAGAACATTGTAGTTTCCATAGTTTCACCACAGCAGCAGACGCACACAATGACGTCCGCTGGCGCATCATAAACACGTCGGATAGTGAAAGTGCATTCGGATTCTCTAAAGTACCGCAGTCTCTTCTCCTAAGTCCTTTTGAATTCTCCTATCCACTATCCCTTAACCCCGTGACGTTTCACTCAGAGGTCAAGGAATAGGAGATAGGGTTAGAATTTAGGAGCTGATTATTGGATTATCAGAACGCAACCTTGTGGTAAATCAGAGTGGCTTGAATGCCTATTTCAATAGTGTTACTAACACAGGTGATCTAACCCTTTGCATTGGCTTGTGTTTCCTCTTTACAGTGCAGCTCCAGGAGCCAGGGAGAGAAGGAGATGTACACTCTGGGCATCACTAACTTCCCCATTCCTGGAGAACCTGGCTTCCCTCTCAATGCTATGTACGTCAAGCCTGCAAACAAGCAAGAGGACGGTAAGATCAAGCACCATCAACTAATGCTGTTTCCCTTTCCTTGTACCCGTTGCATATATCCTTTAATTCCATCAGCTTAAAGGAAGTTAGAAATGCTGTTTCATTTCCTTTGTGGTAACCCTCAACCCCAATCTTAAACATTGCGCCTGGAAATGTAATCATCCTATAATTATAGTGGAAGGGAATTTACATCTATGCTAAGGCTGCACAATATATCGTTTCAGCTTTCTTGTCAAGTTAGGCAAAATACTCATGGTTTGTATTTTCTATAGCTCACCTACAAGAAGAGTTAATTGGTTGCGTGCGGACTGCTTGTCGGTACATACACAGCAAACCACAAGTGATCAAACAACCGAAGAAGGCAAAAGAAAATGGTTGCAAAAATAAACACAGTAGTCATTTGAAACCACTCCTTCCTAATTCTGATGTAGCCGTAAAAGATCAAATGTTCACTAGGAAAAGTGTTTGTTAAAATGTAAAGGAGGGTGTAAGTGGCTGTGGTGACAACCTCTGCAACCTTTTCCAGAGACCATGAGAGCGTACCTCCAGCAGCTCCGCCAGGAGACCGGCTTGAGGCTATGTGATCGCGTGTTTGACCCCCAGACAGACAAACCCAGCAAGGTGAGGCCAACATCTCAAATCAAAACAATCTGTTTCCTGTTTCTTTGTGACCATTAGCTCACAGGGTGCCTTCAGACATTTACTTAACACAAGTTTTTTGTTTTTTTCCAGTGGTGGGTGTGCTTTGTCAAAAGGCAGTTCATGAACAAAAGTCTGTCTGCCCCGGGACAGTGAACAACTCAGGACTCAGGTTTCGATTCTGCACCTGCAAGACGGATCGATTTTTTTTTTTTTGGTGGGTTGGGGGGGGGTTGTGATTATGCATTGATAAAATGATTTTATACTCTTTAACATTAGGGAGATGTCTTCTCTTGTCTGGATGTTAACCATTTTGAGCTTAATTCAATAAAACAATCATGGAGATTAGAATATAATTTGGTGCTTTTTTGTTCTTATTGCATTTCACTCAGACCAAGGCACGTATTCAAGGAGTTGAAATTATTTTTACAGTGAGTAGGTAGCTCTGTATGAGGCTTATCACTATTTATTAAAATTAGACCGGTAGATTATTCTGGTATAGGCCTTCACCACAGCAGCCATATCGACTATCACTATTTGCTCTGTACTTGTACAGACGAGGACACACAGTTTACATCCAAAGTAAAACAACACATCACGTTCATTAAAAATATATTTATTGGTGTATTCTCTTTGGTTTGTCCACAATGTTATTTTCTGGATTCCAAACAAGCTTTCAGATGCAGTCCTTATTGAAGATAAGTTTCCTTCGCTGGCAGTCAAAGTTAAGGCAGCGCCGGGTGATATGTTTGCCCCCCAGGGAGAGAAGGAACACTTTCTTTGCAGAACTCTTCCAGGAAATAAGAGCCAGTGTCCGTATTTCCATCTCTTTAACGACTGCAAAGTTGCATAATTGATGAAATCACTGTAGACTGGATGGCTCAGTGGGGCAGGGTGAAAACAAACAAAAAACCTCCCTAACAGAACATATGCATCCTAAAACAGTCCCTCTAAATAAATAGGTAAATATCAAGTAAACTATTTTAACAAAATGGAGCATTTTAAAAGGGGTTTCTTCCTAGACATCTGATGAGTATATACAAAAAGAAAGAACGAGGCTGTATAATTCATCTTCCTGTGAGAGAAATCTTGATGCTTGACCAGAAACGGTTTCAACTGATGGAGAAAAATTGAAATTTGTGCAGCGTGAATGCCAATGCCCTTCAGCGAAATCATTAAATATAAACCATTGAACTGCAAGACAGAAATGAATAGAGAAATATGAGAACATTAACTTTTTTTCCAGCGAGTCTGTTTTTTGTTTCCGGGACTAGTTGATGTCGACAAAGTTAAGTCCTGGGATCATTTAGCCATCTTAAGTGTAACCAGTTGTCAAATCCTTTGTGCAGTTCCAATCTGAAACAAAACAAACACACTTAATAAAAATAACAGCACCCTGAGGAGTAGCAACAGCAAGTAACTGTTTTTTTTTTAATTTTTATAAATAGTACTTACTGTGTTGATGGCTGTAGGAAAAGCCTTAGTCATAAGCCATGTCTTGACTCCTCCGGACACAGCGTGCTACCTTTTTCTTAAAAATTCCTTTAGGATCGTCCCTCCATTCTTTCTGCAGAATATAAGTAGACAGATATTCTATCAACAACCTGCTCAGTGCAATCCTTTCTTCCCCTTGTGAAATGTTTCTCAATACTTCTTGGCCACACAATTTACCGAAAAAGGTTGCCAATACTGTACATCTGAATAAAAATATGTTTACTTCTTTTAAAAGTTGATTTTGAACTATTGCCTTTATTATCATCTCCAGCCCCCCCCCCCTGGATAAAAGCTTCCCTTGGCCTTGACATTGTGATTCAAGGCCAAGTCACTCAGCCCACTTTTGACTAAACTCTGGTGAAATATAATAAGCATTTCAGATACCATTCTCCAAATGTAAACATATACGCGTGAGAGATTTTGGATTAAAAGTGTCATATTGCTTGTCAGAACCACGCACTGGAACATGTATATCAAACGTTTTTTTTTTTAAAGGCTGCAAACTAGCTGCAGCTTGAGTGTTCTTATAAGATAAAATGGACACTTACAGCTGCATCTACATTGGCAGCAGAGTCTCCATTAGGGTCTGCCAACATGGAGATAACACTGATCATGATGGTCTCTACTGTATGGATCGGCAGCCAGCGCTCCTCAGGCTTCTCGTAGCCATACTTGTCCTCGCCAGGTTCATGAAGGATGGAGATGCAGACGTCGCCATTTTTTGCCACTGGCAGAAAACAATAACACACAGATTACTGACACGTTTGTACTGAAGCAGACACTAAGCAGCAGCTCAACAGAACAAGTTGGTTATGTATTTAACAAGGCCCAGGGAAAAAAAACGATTTACATATAAATGATTGAAGATATAAATAAACAGATCTTATAACCATTTACATTTAAACAGCAGTAGTTAGTATACATTTAGGCTCACACCCACTGCACACATAAATAAATATTGATTTCAAAATTATTTCTTGGATATAAATGAAATAGAGATGATGGCCTGTTATTTTAGTTCTTACCATTTGGATGCCAGATTTCTGTGACAAACTTCAACTTGGGAGGCCTCAGAGGGTAGTCCCTGGGGAAGGTTAAGGTCGCTTTGAAGAAACCTCCTTCACTAAAAATGGCAAAAAGGTGGTGTTAATATGTACACTGGTGACTATGAATGAATATACAGCTCAGCCACAAGAAAGTAACTTCATTTTTCTCACAATAATGTATCCTGAGGTCCAATTACGACCACTTCCCATTGGTATATGTCATCGTCATCTACAAGACCGGCAGAAAATCCTTCCACTGGGTTCTTGTTGAGCTCTGAAAATAAAAATAAACACAGTTAAATGTACTTTAAAAAGGGCCTTAAATAAACAGTGCAAAAATACTTTGTTACAAGTCAAAGTCCTGCATGCAAAATCTCACATAAGTATTAACATCAAAGTAAATTACCTATTGTTCATAATGTCCCTGTTTAGGATTACATTTATGAAATACCTGCATTTTGATTATTGATGCATTAATGTGTTCATATCTGCTGGTAAAGGAGGAGATATATTTTCTTTATATAATGCTGCTGGATATCTTAACCTATCATTTTTTATCATAGTTTATGTATTACTTTATTTAAGTTATCTTATAATGTGAATATATACAGTAATTAATTTTGTTATATAAAAGTAGTCGAGTCAAAAGTACAATATTGGCTTCCAAAATGAAGTGGAGTAGAAGTATAAAGTAGCATACAAGGGAAATACTTAAGTAACATAATATATTATCACTAGGTTTAGGTCGAACGAACTATATCGATATGGACACAAAGCAATCAGTTTGTTGACCATTAAACGACCGAAATATAAGAAATACTGATGAAAACACGTGTGGCAGTGCTGAGCTGGTAGCTAATATCCCTGCGCATGTATTGGCCTGGGCTGTGCTTACTAAATGCCTGCAGTGATTATTGAGCAACAGCTAGCCTTAGTCATATCCTCTCTAACAGCTGTCTAATACGCAATTTGTAAACGTGCACCTCAACTGTATTATGCCAAACGTATCAGTACGTTAAACCTAGCCGAATAAAACAAAGATCAATAAACACAGCTATTGCTATAATGTGATAACTTGATACAGTGAAATAGCTTAAGTAGCAAGAGTTAGCCAACTTACCTGCTAGTTGTTTACGTAGAAGCAACGAGGACTGTTCCGTCATTTTACAGCTATATATGTTTACCACCGTTATTTGTATTAATTAGGGCCAAATGACTGTCGAACTGTCACCACGGTTGAATTAAACATTGAACAAATAATGTAGCCACGTTTTGTTCTCTTTCTGTCTAACAAGACCAACAACATGAGTCCAAAGCGAAGAAAAAACGTGTGTGATCTTTGCCCTCAGCGTAACCTCACAGGCAAGCCTTTTTGTCTAAACTGTGTACAGTCCCCCCAAATTATCCAACAATTAAATTAAGGTTACGGTCAAACGTAGAGCTTTGACTGTGCTAAAGAGCTGTTGATTTTCGATAAAGTAATTAGTGTGTTGTGTCTACATCTCGGAAGTGCTGCCTGTAAGGACAAATCCAGGGTATGGCATGCAGCTTTCGACCACTTCTCTTCTTCGTGTGTTTGGCAGCAGGCAGGATGTAACCCCAATGGCCCGTTACTGACTCACAGTTTGTAATGAATACTACAGGTTCTTTATTTGCATCCCCAGCGGCAGATCTTAAACAGTCAATAGTACAGACAAGTTTATAAAATAAGGCACTTATGTAGGATAAGTAATACAAAATACAATATGATAATAAAGTAAATCCCCAACACAGGTATACATTTTATTAATTTTGAACGCCTTTGGAATAATTTGGAACACAGATTCAAATGATTCATTATTCACCAACATCAGTGCTTAAACTCCTTCATATGTTGTGTTTGAATTGGGGAAAATCACTGACTCAAACTACATGTCGCCTACAAAACAGTGTCTCAGTCTAAATTTGTTTTATTGCTATCACTTACCTACAAAATGAGTTCCCGGCTGAAATGATTCCAACTCGCCTTCACACTCCCTGCCATTCCTTGTAGTTTCCCCTTATTACAGTATATAGACCTACCGCTTTTTCAGATGGTCTAAGGCCACTTTCAAATTCACTTCACATCACTCCATTCATAACCTGCCATATCCACATCCTCTCAGCTTTCAAAAACCAAAAGCCCTCCCTGTATCCACTACATTCAGAGCCATTAAAAGTTCTACAACGGTTTCAGGCAGGACCAAAGATCATCCCTCTAGCACAGTTGTTTTTCTGAAAAAAATACCTGCAGCAGTATATTTCAATTTCTTTACTTCTGCTTTTCTCCAGGTGAACCCAAGGCTTGTACTTTACTGTATCCATGACACCTTGTTATATATGCCTCAAATATGACTCATTACAGGCTCATTGTCTTCGCAAATATAGCACAATATTGGTATTTTATAACCTCATATGTGTCTCTCTTTAGCTTCTAGGTCTCCTGCATTTATTAAAACGTACTGGTGGGAAAATCGAACCACTTACTACTTATTACTATTCTCTTTATGATCTTTAACATAATAGCTGCCTTTGGCCCCATGTGGCTCATTTGATCTGTTTGAACCTCCGTATCCTACACCCTTTCCTCGTTTTACCTTAACATTTAACACTACATCATCTAGTCTCTCAAGCATCCCATAGTTAAAGTCATCCATTACTTAAATGATTTTCCTTCAGCCTTGTATTGACCCCTGTTCAGTTCGAAGACATGTTAAAGGTTTTCTAAGTAATTCTTTATTGGGTTTCTCTAACATTTTACTCCTCGTCCGCAACCTCACATATTTACCCAGCAATTC